CACACACACACACACAAACACCTACACACACACCCACACACACACACACACACACACACACACACACACACGTAAACACAACCACCTACACACACACACACACACAGAAAACAAAGCGCTGGTTGTGTGTCTCCTGCACACTAACCCACACTGAACCTCTGCGGTGTGTCTAATTCTATCTGTCTGAGTGCCCTCAGCCTCATTTTGTTCTCTTCTTCACTCAGCCGTTCTCTCTTTTTCTACAACAGCTCTCACACTGAGCCATTATTACCCTATTCATCCTCTTCCTCCCATCCCTCTCTCCCCCCTTTCTCTCTCTCATCTCCCTCCCCTCGCTCGCTTTGTCTGGCTTTCGCCCATCTTTCTATTCCTCTATATTATTTCCTTCTCTCTCCATTATAATGCATCCTCCCTCCTTCCCCTCGGCTGCCCTTTATTTTTCTTCCTCTGTAGCATCACTCGCTCTCATCTGCTTCTCTTTTTTTTTTTCCTTCCTTTCTCTCTCCTCTTTGTTACTTTGCCATCACATTTTGCCGCCGTATTTTCTCAGCTCTTTCTCCTTCTCCCTGCATCATCACTCCATCCCGGCTAACACATGTTCCTGACACTTCAAGATGGAAGGAGAGGATGGAGGCAGCGGGGGGGAGGCGATGGAGGGCAGTGAGTGACAGGGCTGTACACACCGTCACACACACACACACACACACCGTCACACACACACACACACACAATCAGCAGCCTCATCATGACTTCATAACCAGGCCATCAGCACACGTGTCACCGTACGTGGACGCGATGCACCAAGCGTGTGCAGCGTATACAGTGTGTTTGTTCGTTTGCACGTCGAGCTGTAGTTTCTAATGAATCTCATTTATGTTTCTGCTTTGGTGAAGGTGCTTCACTTCTGTGGGTTCTAGCTTCAGACCGACTGTATTAATGCTCAGAGGAACATTCAGGTGTTACAGCAGCATGAATGTTCAACAAAGAGGGTAAACAGAAGCAGAAAGACAGGATATGAGGGGAGGGTATAAAATAAAATAAGATAAAAATATAGAAAACATAATATAGAAGAAAGTCAACTAAATGTACAAGAACATATCAGAGATAGAGAAATGATGATGTGCTCAGATTGAAGCACTAAAGAGTCCTATAGCTGTGTGATGACCTCCTGTAACCTGCCTGGCGTTCTTATTTTAGCTAAAACAAAATGCAGGAAGTAGGTGTACTGCTCCTTTAGTGCCAGTTGTTCCTGATGAAACTTACTTCCAGCAGAACAACAGTGAATGTAATGAAACCTGAAGCTGACTTAAAGCAAAGCGTCCATCTGAGAGGATCCAGTCATTTAACTCGACCCGGTCGCATCAACGTGACTCGTGCGACTAACTCGGCTGAACTTAATCCACCTACGTGTCACCAGTTGGAGCAATTCCTTCGAGTTGATTCAAAAATTCTTTTTTTTTTTTCAGTGCGTGTGCCGACAGCAAATAAACAAGCTAGAGACAGAAAAACCTGATTTTCTTTCTGACAGTTGGGAGCAGATGATTACGCTGCTGCTGCTGATGTGGAGCTACGTTACTGCTCAGTCCTCGGTCACTCTGATGTCTCGTTCTTCATCCTGCTCCGGTCTGCTCTACCAGACTTCACCTCAACACACCTGAAACTGGAGCACGAGCTGAACATGATGTACCTCGAACAAACATCTCCTGTTTGAATTAACCCAAGTTCTCTTATCTGTGCAACATAAAGGTCGCCATCTGAGGAGAACTTTGGTGCGCTGCTCCACCCTGATGGAGGTTTGAACTGTGTTGCTGCACAGAAGCAGCAGCTTGTGAACGCTCTGCACATGCAGGACGTGTTTCCTTCACTTAAACGCTTCCTGCAGCCTGAACCGTCCTCCGGTTGGATTTCTGCAGCTCCACCAGATTGCCTCCTCCAAACAACAGGCTGCGCTCAGCCCACAGATCAATTCAGATGACCTGGCTCCGATTTGGCCGGGAAGAAAAAAAAACAGCCAATCTGACAGGACTGATGTCGGACCATATGTCTGACCCGAGCAGAATCTGACCCGGACACGGAGCCGCTTTCATTTGGCGTTTGTGAGGCGGCTGTCGCTCTGATCGAAAGCTATACAGACAAACTGGACGCACATAAATAACGGGAGATGAAAGAGAGGAGCGGAAACAAACAGCGAAGGCGACGTTTTGCCTGAAAATCCGGTGATTTAGGAGAAAAAAAAAAGTGCTTTTAGTGCAATTTCCAATAAGAAATATCTCCGTTCTCGCTACAAAAGAAGAGAAATCTGCCTCTCTGCACGGCCTTGACAGATAAAATACCATCCAGGAGGAAATAAATTTACTCCAACAAGTGCTGAAGTAATGAGTTAATTGACTAACGGATCTCCAAGTGACCAATTGGGATTCTGATACCACTGAACAGATTATTTATTCATTTTAGCCACAGACAGCGTCACACATGAAGCTCACACTGAGCTTCAATAACAGTCAGTAGGACATGAGCACCTGGTCAGGAGGTAACAGGTAAACCTCTGATGGAAACCAGTTTAAAATAAAACCCACCTCAGACGATGGGAGCTGGGTGTTCTGGAAAAAACCAGCAGCCGATTACCGCGGCGCTGGTTTCACTCATTCATGGCTATTATGAGAAAAACATCAGTAAATGCAGGTTCAGATCCAGACATTACAGTCAGTGTGTATCCACACATCAGAACCATCCTGAAGTCAACCTGGGCCTCCCAGCAGCATCCCACTGCCTCCGTGGTCCAGCTGGGTCCGTCCAGCTGGGTCCGTCCAGCTGGGTCCGTCCAGCCCACATCACCACATGTTGAGCACCATGTCTCTGATCGGCCTGAACGTTTCTAGATTAAACTCTGGATATTTCACCCTGATGTATACATTAAATACTTTCTGAGGTCATTTTCTAAAACTGCCCGTCGACCATCTTTCAAACTCGTTTGAACGACAGAAACCATCGAACACAAAGTCTGACGTTCTGCTGTTCCTCATCGTGTCACTGATTCAGAATCTGAACTCCTGGACGTGTGGACGGAAGAACGTCTGACTGCAGGTGAGTTAAAAGGTGAGAAACAACCGAAGCTGCCATGAAAACTCATCAACAGACAAACCTGATAACACTGATGTTAACTGAGGATATTTTATGAATCGTATGAAACAAAACACAGAACATGAAAAAAACCCAGTTGTGGAGTTTTTACCTTGAAGCGTTTCTTCCAGTGAGAAGCTGAATGCGTGGCCTCCAGAGTGACTGAAAACGAGTTCATGTGCTGATATTCAAAAGTTTTTTCATTGTTCGTCTTTGAGAACCATTTAAATGGATTCGGCTGCTGACTTATACTTTAAACAATTAGTTTTTTTTCCATTTTTATGCCCGAGTATTTCAAATTAAAAGCATTCTGTGTGATGTTTTATATCACTGTGACGTGCAGCTACACACGGGTCAGAACATTTCCCCGGTCGACGTGTGCATCAGAACATTTCTACGTTAATGTGCTCAAAGATGCACCTTCAGATGATTTCGTATTTCCACTCAGCCACAATCAGATTCTTTGATCTACTGTCCAGTATCACAGATTCTGAATCAATGACACGATGAGAAAAAACGTTCCAGGTTTTTATCGTTAACAGCTCCTGATGTATATATAATTAAAAAAATTAATTAATTAACAGCTCCTGAGATGTTGTCGTTCAAAAAGAGCCAAAAATGAGCCGTGCAATTTAAAACTAACAATAAAAAGCAGTTGATATGTGGATCTAAGATTCCACAGAAACCGTTTCAAACATCCACAGTTTATGATGAAAAGTTTAATGAAAACCAGAGCTGGTGGAGCAGAAGGTCTTTGATGACTGGAGCTGGAATAAACCAGAAAACGCTACGAGAGAGAGCAACACACCCATCAGCCAACGTGTCGTACAATCGAATGAAAGTGAGCCGGGCTGGAGCGGCGCGAGCCGGGCCAGGTGTCAGAAACAACACCGCACAGTCTCGTTCCAAAGCACAGCCACAAGGGAGTGCTGGCAGAGAGCGGCCGGACGGAGGGATGGAGGGATGGAGGGATGGAGGGATACAAAGGAGGAGAGGGGGCTGGTCAATAAACACCTGAGGGCAGAAACGCTGCCAGCTGGCAGCGACGCCGACGAGAGGCTGGACGTGGAGCTCAGATAAAATATAGGTGAGGAGGAAAGAAGCAACGCAACAGCTTTCAGCTACAGCAGAGAAAATTCCCCCAAAATGTTCTGAGAAACAGACGAACGGACGGACGGAGGAGGAACCGAGGAGACGAGAGCACAATGAAGACAAGGACAGTCTGTTCCACAGGCGGTGGTGAATATTAGGCTGTCAGAGCCGCACCAAGGGACACACACACTACACACTAACACACACACACACACATTACACACACACTAACACACACACACACACATTACACACTAACACACACACACACATTAC